GATGTCCCGGGCGGTAGTTTTCTACGCGTGACGCTCCGTGGCAGCAGACCTGGACAGTTCGATCCATTCTCTCCGCCAATGCCAGAGACCGTATACCGAAGGTCCAAGAACCACTTTCATATCCTGGCGAACTGAGTCGAGCTGACCCTCTCTTCCACATTTTCAATTAGATAATGGTTTCGGGTCGAGGACAGTAACACTGAGCTCGTGAGGTTTAGGCCTAAGAACGTTTCCAAACCACCTCATTTATCTTTCTTGGACGGCCTGGAAGTTTAAATAGCATTAAATTTGCTTTTAATGATGCAAATTAGATGTCGAATTCTGTTTCCTGACAGTCGCAGTCTCGTGCACCCGATAAACTCATGGTTTTTTGGCAGTTCTTTAAAGGACGGTTTTCTTGAACTACTTTTTCTTTTAGTTAGGCTTCAGGTAACTAGGACCTCCCTTTATTTAATTAATAACTAGTACCCTTAACATTGACCTTCACAATGGCATGGCTTTCTTTCGATAGTTAAGCCTGTTGTCTTCCGCTTACGTACGTATTTTCTCTATTTTTAAGCTGCACTGACAAATACCGTCTCATTCTTCGGCTGGCCTGGGCCACGACCGGACTTTACATGCCAGGTGATAAGTCCAATCCCTCTCGCGTTCTGGCCTCTGAGGTGCTACCACGCTGTCTCTCCGTCCGCGTTGATCGTCGCAATGTCACCCTTCCCGATCCTACCTTTCATGAGGGCCAGGCGCAAAATTTTGGTCATCGTCTCCGTTTCGCAATTGACATCACAGACAAGGTTGTTTTTCTTTTCCTTTCCATAGGAGAATTTAAGAGATTATTCCCAGTCATCATCATTGCAAGATAGCGATCGGGAATTTCACACTTGCGTGTTGTGTCTACACATTTATATTGTGTAGTGATCTTTCTAACCCTTGTAGATTCGCTTTCAATCGAACTCACTGGTCTGCTGTCAGCATATTGACATTGAATTAACATGGTTGCACGCGCCTCTGCAGGACCACGCAATACCTCTGCTTGAAATGGTGGGCTCCGGATCCTGCACTTCCATTCTAAATCACTTGCTCAACCTCCCCCTTGTTCAGATTACTCTGGATCGTGTCCATCCCATACCAGAGTTTGTCCGCATATTTT